AAGGCCTCTTGAATAGAAAAGTCTAACAGCAATTAACACTCTTAATTACCTTACTTTAGCACCACAACCATTCTATTTGTAGAGGGCAACAATGGTTAACATATCAATTAGGTAAGATTTTACAATTCTTTACAGAGGATTGATTAACATATCAATCGTTTGCCCAGAGGAAAAGGAAGACACACATTCACAGTAAGGCCAAGTTACAGGGATTACTATAATTTAAGGGAAGCTATTTTTGTGAAGAATGTACAATCTAATATAATCTGATGCAATTAACACAATTTGTGATGGGGCTACCTGGTAGAGAAGACCCGTGTGGTCAGGAGCTATTACCTCAGGCCTTTGTTTTATGGCCCTTAGGAAGTTAAAATTTAACCTAGTTAGATTTGCAGGGAGAAGGGGAGGGGAAGCAGCAGATGGTCTCTTCACCACCCACCCCGACAGCTGACAGAAGCCGCTGTTGAGATTTCTCCTGCTCCCACTCTGAGACAGGTGAGGACTCTCCAAGTAAAAGACCAGAAAATTAAAGGTTAAAAACAAGATACTGTTTCTCAGCTAAAAACAGAACTGGGCCTCATGACTCAGTCCTAACTCAGCCCTGCAGGAAGATCAAAAGAAAACATCTGCAAATGTGGTGTGCTCTGGCTGCACTGTGTCTAAAGATAAGTTGTGGAAAAAAAGGCAGTCAATCAACTCTAACCCGCTAGTCACCCTTGGTGATCTAACCAATCACAAATCGCCAACTATCCCGCTATCCCGCTCTAACTGCAATGATTGGCTTCCGTATCAAACGCTTGCTTTGCAGTTTTCACCCTTAAAAGCACCAGCCTCGCTTCAGTTCAGGGTTCTCTGTTCCCGCTTGTTTGGAGGACCCCGTGCGCACGGAATAATAAAACCCCTCTGTTCTTACATGAGAGCTGAGTCCTTGGGGTCTCCTTCACGACACCGGTCTTACGCAAGGGACTGTGACTCGGGTTCACAGCCTTTAGCTCACCTTTGATCCGGCCACAATGGGAAATGCGCCTTCCTGTCCTCAAAAGCACACTCTGCTCCGGTGCCTGTTAGAACACCTGGGCACTCTCAGGCTCTGGGGGAGCATAAAATAAAAAAAACTTATACTTTACTGCCAGACGATTTGGCCTCAGTACAAATTTGACAGTGGCTACCACTGGCCAAAGGAGGGCACTTTCGATTAAGCCACCCTTTGTGACTTACATACACAACTTTTGCGTCTGTTACAGCAAATGGTCAGAGATTCCTTTTGTTATGGCCTTTATCGCCCTCTGGGAGTATCCCCTCCTCATTCAAACGTGGGGCCACCAAGCAGCTTTTGGAGGGTTCCACATTATCAAACACCACTGAGCCTATGGGTCATGACCCTTCTGCCCTAGATCCTCCACCATACTCAAAGGACCCTTCCCATTCCCCACTATCCCCAGATTATCCTCCTCCTCCCCAGACTCCTTCCCCCTCCAGTTCCTCCTGTGCTCCACGGTCACCATTATCTCCACCAGCACACCCCACCAGAACTTCCTCCACTGAGCCCCTGCCATCTGGTGACTCCTCTCCGCCGCCTCTCTCTTGTGTCTGCCCCAACTCGCCATCATCTTGAGACCTCTCCCAAACATCGCCATCATTCCAAACTCTTTCATCATGGAGCCCACCACAGCCTCTGCCTTCTCCCAGCTGGGTGGGAGACACTAAAGGCCACATCCCTTTAACTCTCTCTTAAGTTTCCCAAATCACTGAATGTTTATGATCTTTCACTGCTGATCCTTACTATTACATCAGAAAACTTTCCTGAGTTTTCAAGCCTGTGTGCTGGATCCACAGTCTACATTATGGGGGTTGACTACCAACCTACACAGCCCCTCCAGACAGGGCTCATCCCTTGGAGGTTCCAAACCCATTTCTTCACTCATAATTTTCTTGTTACCCCAGCCTGCCCTGTACCCTCTTAGGTAGAGACCTTCTTCAAAGACTCAATTTTTCATATACTTTCTCCCTCCCCGAGGCTGTGATACTTCAAACCAAACCATTCTACACCCCTTCCTTCACCCCTCAGCTTCCCTCCTCTGTCACTGGTCCCACAGTCTGGGATGTCTCCAACCCTACTTGTGCCACCCATGCATGATCAATCGCTTGTTAACCAGTGGCTTCCTTAAAGTCACCCACCCACCTTACAACTCTACTGCCTGTGCTCAACAGCACAACGCTTAATGACTACAAGTATTTCCAGGCATAGTTGATAATGATTATTCTGGAGAAATAAAGGTAATGGCGTCCTCACCTAAATCCATTAGTACTGTCACTACTGGACAAAGGTTCACTCAGTTGCTACTCTTGTCTTTAATTTAGACCTCTAATAAGATAATTTCCCAGCAACAAGGTGATAAAGGATTTGGATCCTCAGTGTCTATTGGGCAGAGATAATTTCTACTCAAAAACCTCTTACGTCATTATGCCTAGATGATAAAGAATTCTCTGGCTAATAGACACAGGTGCAGATGTCACTGTTACTAAAAAGGAAGACTGGGCTCTGACCTGGCCCTTAGATATTACCATGACTCATTTAAAAGGTATAGGTCAAGGCCAAAACCCAGAACAATGTTCAAAATTTCTAACCTAAAAGGATAGGACAATCAAGGCACAATACAACCCTATGTCATAGCTGGATTACCAATAAATCTTTGGGGTAGAGATCTATTGGCACAAATGGTGTTAATTATGGGTAGCCCAAATGCCATTGTCACTGCTGAAATGCTGAACAGTGGATATTTACCTGGTATTGTTCTTGGAAAAAATAATACCGGAATGACAGAGCCCATAGAGACTATACCAAAGACAGACTGAGTCAGATTGGGCCATTTTCTGTAGGGGCCACTGACTCCTGTGATCCATGCAGACAAAATTACGTGGCTGTCAAAGGAGGCTACATGGGTCGATCAATGGCCTCTCACTTCTGAAAAGCTAGTGGCTGCGCAAGAGCCAGTGCAGAAACAGCATAAATAGCAGACCATATAGTTCCTAGTAATTCCCCATGGAACACTCCCATCTTTGTCATTAAAAAGAAATCAGGAAAAAAGCCCCTGACAAGGTTCAACTCACTGATCCATACACATACTTGGGTTTTCAAATGAAGGGACCTCAGATCTCTTCTCAGAAGATACAGTTGAGGGAGGCAAACTTCAGACTTTAAATGACTTTCAAAAACTTATTGGGGAGGGCTGGGGTTTAGCTCAGCGGCATAAGCGCCTGCCTTGCAAGCAGGCAGTCATGAGTTCGAATCCTGGTACCAATAAAAAGACCAAAAAAAAAAAAAAAACTTACTGGGGACATTAACTGGCGCATGCCTTACTTAAAACTTTGTAAGCAGGCAATACATGCTGTTGAACAGGCCATCCAATCCCAGACTATTACTTTTATAGATTATGGTAAACCCTTAAAATTTGTCATATGCAAGACCACTTTCTCCCCAACCACTGTCTTCTGGCAGACAGCACCATTGATGTGGATTCACTTGCCAGCAACACATAAAAAGGTCATTGAACCCTACTATCACGCCATATCTACCCTCATTCTCTTGGGGATAGAACAAGGAAAATGTTACTTTGGCAAGGAGCCAGATATTATTGTACTGCCTTTTACCAAAGAACAGATTGATTGGTTCATGCAGACAACTGAATTCTGGACCATTGCCCTTGCCTCCTACACAAGTTTATAGACAACCATTATTCCCCCAGACAAGCTTGTTAAATTTGCCAGTATACATTCATTTATCTTCCCTATGGTCACATCATTCAAACCATTAAAAATGCCTTATTAGTATTTACTGATGGCTCCTAAACTGGCTTGGCAGCCTATGTTTTTCAAGACCAAACTGTAACCTTCCAAACAAACAGTACATCAGCCCAGATCACAGAATTGCATGCTGTCACCACAGTCTTTTCTGCATTCTCCACTCAGCCTATAAATCTATATACTGACAGTTCTTATATCGCACACTCTGTTCCTCTGCTAGAAACAGCTGGTCAAATCAGAAATGCCTCCAACACTGGAGAACTGTTTAGGCAAATACAGGTGCTCATTACGAAAAGAACTTGCCCCTTCTTTATCGGACATCCACATGCTCACTCAACCACAAGTTTCCCTCTGCACTTTAGCTAACATTAACTCAAATGAAAATGTTACTTCACCACAAAAAAGTCATCAATTACACCATCTGAATGCCCAGATCCTCAGGCTTATGCACAAGATCACTAGAGAAAGAGCCAGACAGATAGTAAAAAATTGCCCCTCTTCTGCCACACACCTTGGAGTTAATCCCAGAGGACTGATCCCCAATGCATTATAGCAAATGGATGTCACCCACATTCCTGAGTTTGCCAACCTTAAATACGTTCATGTGACTATAGATACCTTCAGTGATTTCATTTTTACTGTGTCTAGACTGGCGAGGCTGCCAAATATGTGATTGGCTGTGGAGGAGGAGGAGTCACTTTGAAGGCCCTGGCCCCTTCGTGACCTGCAGTAAACAATAGCCCCCGGTATGCAGGACAGAGATGGGGCGGGAAGGCCCGACCCCAGTGAGGGAAAATGTTCCTCCCTCTGAACCCATGCTGTGTGACTCGGCTTTGTTTGCAGAGTCATGAGGAAGTGGCCAACCTTCAGGTGGCTAGAAAGAACAACCATAATTAAAAACATTCTTGCGCTAATGGAGTTCCTCCTGGGTTAGTGGGGCAAGAAGAACTGGTTTTGATTGTTTGCTTACCTTAGATAGTTTAGATAAACATTGTAGTTTGTCACAAAGAATGCTTTTTCAAGATAATCGTCTGTGCTCTGTCAGTTGATCTGGTTCACTATATAAGACCCTAAAAATAAAGACTTGGTGTGCAGTGCAGGCAGTGCAGTTGGCAATTGCTGTTTCTGTTTCTTTTCTTCACGCTGCACCCCCCGTGTCCCGATCTGGTGTGTGTGTGCCTCTTCCCGGGGTTCAGAGTGCACTAGACACTCTCAACAAGTGGTGCCCGAATCAGGGAACCCGACGGTCGCTTAGGAGAGGTGAGTGTATATATTTATTACGGGGAAATGGGACAATCTTTCTCTTCTCCTTTCTTAAAAATTCTTAAGCATTCACTTTATATGTATGGCATATCACTCAGGTCGGCTGACTTGGATATGTGTGTTCATACAATTAAAGAATATAATCCTTGGTTCCCGGATGAAGGAACTTTGGATGTAGAATTATGGAGGAGGGCGAGAGCTAATATAGAGAAGGCTATGCGACAGGATGAAAAAATTCCTTTACGTTTTTGGGCTATTTGGTCGGTTGTGTACTCTTTATTAAAAGCTATTGAAGATGAACATATTGTAGAAAATCTCCAACAAGAAATTAAACCGGTTATTCAGGAATTACCCCTCACAGAGGAGGAGCAAACTATAGTCCAAAATGACGCTATCGCTTTAACTAGTGAAAAAGCATCCAAACCAAAAGTACAACTCGCCGCAGCTGATTCGGCTTTAGGTGCCGCTGCAATGTCAACTTCTGATGATCGCCCACTATTACAGGCTATACAACGCCTAACACAGGTGGTAGAACAGCTTTCCATTAAGCAGGGCCTTCCTATATGTCCCTCCGCACCTCCCCCATCTAACCCTGACTCGAAGAAGGCTAAACTAGCTTTGGACGATATGCCAGAAACAGGGAATTCTGAAGACGAGGAAACGTCTGTCTTTCCTTTTCCTGTTAATAGGCCACAACCTGCGGATGGAGTGGCACTTCCCCCTAGATGGGAAGGATTTAATATGGATGACTTAGCAAAATTAAAAAAGGCCGTGACCCTTTATGGCCCTCAGGCTCATTACACTAGAGAATTAGTAAGGGCTGTAGCAGATCAATATGGTAATCTTGCTCCTTATGATTGGAAAACCTTGGCTAAAATTCTTTTAGAGGAGCCAGAATATTTACAGTGGCATATGTGGTTTATGGAAGGTTGTGCTGAGAAGGCAAGACAAAATGCTGCGGACCGAGATCCTAATGTTAGACTCATTTCCTATCCCATGCTTTCTGGTACAGGTTTTTATGATACTGTTAAACATCAGGCTGCGGCCCCAAGAGAGATTCATGCTCAATTAAGAAATATTGCTTTAGAAGCTTGGGATAAAATGCGGCCTCAAGGATCAGAATATGGATCTTGGGCTAAAGTTCTGCAAAGAACTAATGAACCGTATGTTGAGTTCATTGCAAGACTTCAAAATGTTATAGAAAAATCAGTAGTGGAGAAAGATTTACAACAATATCTCTTAAAACTTTTAGCCTTTGAAAATGCCAATGATGAATGCAAAAAGGTTTTAATTCCAATAAAAGATACTGGAACGATTGACAGTTTTATAAAACAATGTAAAGATTTAAATTCAGAATCTAAAAAAATTCAATTGTTTGCTGAAACCATAGTAACCACGTGGTATAATTTGCAGTCTAAAAAGGAACAGTCTTTGAAATGTTTTGGTTGTGGTCAGACAGGGCATGTAAAAAGGGCCTGTCCAAAACTTTTAGGCAATGATCAAGGAAAAAAATCTAAAGCCCCTGGCTTATGCCCAAAATGCCATAAAGGGCGTCATTGGGCTCGTGAATGCAGGAATAAACAAGTTAACTCAGCTGAACAGAAGGGAAACGGGAAAACGGGCCCTGCCCCGGGCCTGGGACAAATCAATGGGGGAAACCTACCATATTCTCTTTACAACCTGCCACCCAACACAGCGCCGCAGTGGACATACCAGCCGTAAAAGACAAAGAGTTAAAGGGCAGACAATCTCCCATGAGAATTCCTACAGGAATTTTTGGCCCCTTGCCTGCAGGAACCTTTAGCTTACTCACGGGTCAGTCTAGCTTAAATCAGAAAGGCATTACTATTCATTTAGGAATTATTGATGCAGATTATACTGGAGAAATTCAAATCTTGATGTCCTCACTTGCAGATTATAAATTATCAAAGGGAGAACGTATAGCTCAACTCATATTACTGCCCTATATCCCGATAGGATCCTCTTTTGTTCAGCGAACAGGAGGGTTCGGCAGCACTAACCCTATTAATGTAATGTGGACAGCTAAATTATCTCAACAACAACCTCTTTATTGAGCATAAGAAAATTCAAGCTCTTATAGATACAGGTTCAGATATTACTATTATTAAGTCTACTGATTGGCCTTCTCATATTACTTATATTATTATCCCATGTAATATAAAAGGAGTAAGTAAAACACCAGTAAATACAATTGGTCAAGCCACAATGCATATACATATAAAAAATGAAGAGGGTCAAGTTGCTGTTATTAAACCTTATATCTTAGAAGTGCCAGTTTCTATTTTAGGAAGAGATATATTAAAACAATGGGGAGCTCATATACATTTTTAATATTTTAGATGTCTCTGCAGCGTTGGGGAATGAATCCTTTAAAGCTTAATTGGAAAAATGATGACCCAATTTGGATAGATCAGTGGCCTTTAACTACTCAAAAGTTACAGGCAGCACAGGAATTGATTGATCAACAACTTTCTCTACATCATATAGAACCATTCACATCTCTTTGGAATTCTCCAATATTTGTGATAAAAAAGAAATCAGGCCGGTGGAGACTTTTGACAGATTTACGCGCTGTTAATGCATCTTTATATCATATGGGAGCTCTTCAGCCTGGCATTCCTTTACCTTCAGCGCTCCCTGCTGGTTGGCATGTATATGTTATAGATTTACAGGATTGTTTCTTTAATATTCCCTTACATCCAGAAGATAGAAAACGATTTGCCTTTTCAATTCCTTAAATAAATCATCAAAGACCTTATCAAAGATATCAATGGAGAGTGTTACCCCAAGGCATGATAAATTCTCCAACTATATGTCAAATTTATGTTGATGCAGCATTAAGATCAGTGCGTGCACGATGATCTCAGGTTTATACAGCTCATTATATGGATGATATATTATTCTCATATAATGATAAATATGTTTTAGAAGATATTTTGGAAACTTTACCTCAATATTTTTCCCCGTTTGGACTTGTAATAGCACAAGATAAAATTCAAAAGGAAGAAATTAGTCATTATTTGGGATATATTCTTACTAGACAAAAGGTGATTCCACAAAAAATGTCTATTAGGAGAGATAAGTTATCCACTTTAAATGATTGTCAAAAATTATTAGGAGATATCAATTGGCTCCGTCCCACACTAGGTATTCCTACTCATGCATTACAAAATTTATTTGCTACTTTACAGGGCTCTTCAGACCCATCTAGCCCTCGTACATTAACAGCAGAAGCAGAGCAGGAATTACAGTTTGTAGAACAACGAATTAAGGATGCATTTTTAATTAGGATTGATCTTCAATTGCCTCTCTAAGTTTATATATTATTAATACTTTTCAATATCCCTCTGCAGTTTTGGGCCAGAATGCTATGCCAGTAGAATGGGTATTCACTAAAACTAAGCAATCTAAAAATGTTATGCTTTATATTGATATGGTTGCCTCTTTAATTATGAATGGTAGGGCTCGTTCTATCACTTTGATAGGAAAAGATATAAACAATATAGTTATCCCCTTAACTAAGGAACAATGGAAATATTTGTTATCATTTACTCAAACCTTACAAATTGCCTTAGCAGATTTCATCGGAACCTTTTCATATCATTTTCCTAAAAGTAAATTATGGGACTTTTTTAGACATCAACAATTTGTGGTTAACACTTTATTAGCTGTACAACCAATTCCACAAGCTTTGACTATATTTACAGATGGATCTAGAAATAAAGCTGCATATTGGACTCAAAAATCTTATTGGGTACATCAGACAAATTTTAATTCTGTACAACAAAATGAACTTTTTGCTATATTGCAAGTGTTTTTAGATTTTCCTTTCCAACCTATTAATATTATAGTCGATTCAGCCTATTCTGTTGGAGTAGTGACAAATATCTATTCAGCTGTGTTTTATTCTAATAAACCTACCTTATTGTCTTTATTTCAAAAATTACAAATACATGTTCAAAAAAGAAACCATTCTTATTTCATTACTCATTTACGTTCTCATTCTCAGTTACCTGGACCATTAGTATCAGGTAATAGAGCAGTAGATTCTTTAGTTATGTTTACTACACCTGTTGAAGAACATTAATTTAATCATGCTAGTGCCGGACATTTACATTTTAAATATGATACCCTTTACAGAAGCTAAACAAATTGTAAAAGCCTGCCCTATTTGTAGGCCCTTACACTTAAGAATCACCCCCTCAGGTGTTAATCCTAGAGGAACTCAACCCAATGAGTTATGGCAAATGGATGTTACACATGTGCCCTCTTTTGGTCGGCTTTCTTATGTGCATGTAACTATTGATACTTTTTCTTCATTTCTATGGGCCACTGCCCAACAGGGAAAATCCACTAAAAATGTTATTATACATTTATTAGAGACTATTGTAGTTATGGGAATTCCCTCTAAAATCAAAACAGATAATGGACCCACTTATATTAGCAGAACATTTAAACAATTTTGTGATCTCCATAATATCATTCATGTCACAGGGATTGAATATAATCCCCAGGTTCAAGCTATTGTTGAAAGGGCACATGGCACTCTTAAATTACAATTTAAAAAATTAAAAAGGAGGAGTCAGGAGGATATTCAGATACCAATACTGTTTAAATTGCAAAACAGTCCAAAAACATTACTGCATCAGGTACTGTTTATTTTAAATTTTCTCAATTTACCACAAGGTGAAATATTAACAAGGGCTGAAAGACATTTCAAACAGCAGCAACAACCGTATGTGATTAATGAGCCTATTTGGACTAAAACAGCCCCAGAAGCAGAATGGGAAAAGGGCACATTGCTTTAAAAGGGGAAAGGTTTTGGTTATATCTCCACAGAACATGGAATTCAACAATGGGTCCCTGGACGATGGATCAAGATCCGCGCCTCGAGGCCCTCTTCGCCAATCCCGGAGACAACTCCCCCAGGAACCGTATCCTCCGAGGCAAGCTCGAAACCAGCTAGAGGATGAAGATAATGAACCTGTCCCTGTTTCCGCCATGGCCAGATTACAGCTAAGAAAATCCCGCCTCCATTCAAGGCGATCAAATTTAAACCCTCTCCCTACATGGGGACAAATAAAGAAATTGATCCAAGAAGGGCAATGGCTTGTCCTTCAAGCAGGGAAGCCTTTAACCCTAAAAATTTGTTTTTAGCTTTATGTGCCTTGCTCACCGTTGCATCGGGGACTGAGGTACCCCAACATTCTTACTGGGCTTATATTCCAAATCCCCCTTTACTGGAAGCTGTAGTATGGGGAACTATTGATATATCACTATATACAACACCAAGGGAAATTTTGTCAGCACCGTGGGCTGATTTAACCCCCCATAATCAGGATGATGGAACATTGTTCAGTTTTACTTATTATGGCAATCAACGGCCTATTTGTATTGAGGAACCACCTTGCATCCCTCTGGGATGGCAGTATTGGATTCAACATGGAATTAAAGCAGGCAGCAAAAGGACAAGGCTTCAAGCTTTGGCTGCTAAAACTTTTAATGTTACCTGAAAAAATTTAACAGTGCCTGATAAAAACACATATCCTGTATGCCCTGATTTCACTTATAATAATATTTCTTATAATTTCATAATTTCGCAACAATGTATGGGGAAGTTTGCTAAAAATATTGATGGATATATTATTTGGGGACCATTTGGGAAATTTGTTAATGGATGTGCTAAATAGAATGAGACAAGATGTAATCTCTCTGTTATATATAGTCTTCCAGATCCGAAGAACATAACTGATGGAGCTCCCGTCTTCCCTCAAAAGACACATCTCCTGTAGTGGGGAGACGGTGGAATCGACAATCCTGCTGTTGCAGCTGAAGAGTACCCTCATAATCTCCAAAGTCACATTTGGAAGATTCCAGACACTATGCAACCTGTAACCTTGTACAATGTTTCCTATTCAGGAACTAGTCAATCTGTATCTACTACTTATAATTTTACTAAGTTTATGATTTATAATATTACTGTTTGTGCACCTCTGCCTTATGTCTTTTTAGTGGAAACTTTTAATTTTACACATTTTTCTTGTACTTGTTTAAATTGTCAGTTGTTTACCTGTTTAAATAGCACATTAAGTTTCACTAAACCTTATACAGTTATGCTTTTACAACAAAAAAACTCGTATTTGGTTACCTATAAATCTTACTCGACCATGGTCTTAAGACCCAGTAATTTCTGTTACTACTGAATTTTTTCAACATCTATTAAAACGTACAAAAAGTTTTATTGAAATAGTGGTCGCTGTATTGTTGAGTCTGATAACTGTGGCGTCTTTGGCAGCAGTCTCGAGAATAGCTTTACAAACCTCTTTACAAGCAAAACATGTTGTGGAACAATGGCATGAGAATTCTCATGAACTTTGGTTAACCCAATGGCAAATAAATGCTAAACTACAACAGCAAATAGACCTTCTTAAACAAACAGTTGAATGGATGGGAAGGAAAATATTGGCTCTTCAGCATCAAGTGTTTTTAAAATGTGATTGGAATTCAACTCCTTTCTGTATAACACAACGACCATATAATCAAACGAAACATGAATGGGAAATGATTAAAATGTATCTAAATGGAAACACTTCTGCCCAGGAGGAAATAGAATCTTTGCATAATCAAATTGACAGAGATTTTGCAAAGCATAATGATGATGAATCCCTGGCACAATTTGCTCAATTGCTTGCTCATTCCTTGGAAGGGCTGGACCCTAAAGGAATTTGGCAAAGCTTTACCCACACTTTAAGCGGCATGGGACTTAGCTTGATTATAGCTCTCATTGCCATAGTTATTGTGTGTTTTTACTGCATAAGACGAAATGCTACAAATAATCTGGTCTTATAAAAATTGTTCTTAAAAAATAAAAAGGAAGGAAGTGTGGAGGATGAGGAGTCACTTTGAAGGCCCTGGCCCCTTCATGTCCTGCAGTAAACAAGAGTCCCCGGTATGCGAGACAGAGGCAGGACAGGAATGCCTGTTCTCAGTGGGATCTTCTCACCCTCTTAAAACCATACTGTGTGACCTGGCTTTGTTTTGCAGTCATGAGGAAGTGGCCGGCCACCCTTTGTGACACTAGCAACAAACATAATTAACAACATTCTTGGGCTAATAAATTTCCTCCTGGGCTAGAGGAGCTAGGAGAACTGATTGTGCTTGTTTACTTCACTTAGATAATTTAAAATAAACATTGTAGTCTGTCACATTGTAGCTTGTCACAAAGAATGCTTTTTCACTACTTAATTGTCTGTGCTCTGTGAATTGATCCGGTTTACTATATAAGAATCTTAAAATAAAGATTGTACGTGCAGTGCAGTGCAGCCAGTAGCAAGTGCCGTGTCTCTTCTGTTTTCTTTTCCGAGTGCTGCACCCCCCGTGTCCCAGTCTCTGTGTGCGTGTGTGCCTTTCCCAGAGTCAAGAGTGCACTAGACACTCACGACTGGCGCCCGAACAGGGACTCCAAAGGTCGTTTAGGAAAGGTAAGTATATTTTTATTTCGGGGATATGGGACAATCTGCCTCTTCTCCTTTCTTAAAAATTCTTAAACATTTATCATCTATATATGGCATATCGCTCCAGTCAGCTGACTTGGATATGTGTATTGATACAATTAAAGAATACAATCCTTGGTTTCCAGATGAAGGAACTTTGGATGTAGAAGTATAGAGGAAGTCGAGGATTAGTATAGAAAGGGCTATGCAACAGGAGGAGAAAATTCCTTTACGTTTTTGGGCTATTTGGTCGTTGTGTACTCTTTATTAAAAGCTATGGAAGATGAACATATTGTAGAAAATCTTCAACTAGAAATTAAACCGGTTATTCAGGAATTGTCCCTCACATAGGAGGAGCAGACTGTAGTTCAAAATGACGCTATCGCTTTAAGTAGTGAAATGACTCCAAACCAAAAGTAAAATTCGCTGCTGACTCAGCTTTAGCTGCCGCAGCAATATCAACTTGTGACGACCACCCAATTTTACAGGCTATACAGCGTTTAACACAAATGGTAGAACAGCTTTCCGTTAAGCAGAACCTACCTATACCTCCCTCTGCACCTCCTCCATCTAACCCTAACTGGAATGCAGCCAAACTAGCTTTGGCTGATATGCCAAAAATAGGGGATTCTGACGAGGAAACGTCTGCCTTTGCTTTCCCTGTTATCAGGCCACAACCTGTAGATGGAGCGGCAGTTCCCCCTAGATGGGAAGGATTTAATATGGATGATTTAGCAAAATTAAAAAAGGCCATAACCCTTTATGGCCCTCAGGCTCATTACACTAGAGAATTAATAATGTCGGTAGCAGATCAATATGGTAATCTTGCTCCTTATGATTGGAAAACCTTGGCTAAAATTCTTTTAAAAGAGCCAGAATATTTACAGTGGCATATGTGGTTTATGGAAGGTTGTGCGGAAAAGGCAAGACAAAATGCTGATGATCGAGATCCTAATATTAGACTCATTTCTTATCCCATGCTCTCTGGTACAGGTTTCTTTGATACTGTTAAACATCAGGCTGGGGCCCCAAGAGAGATTCATGCTCAATTAAAAAATATTGCTTTAGAAGCTTGGGATAAAATATGGCCTCAAGGATCAGAATATGGATCCTGGGCTAAAGTCCTGCAAAGAACTAATGAACCGTATGTTGAGTTCATTGCTAGACTTCAAAATGTTATAGAAAAAACAGTAGTGGGGCATGACTTACAACAACATCTCTTAAAACTTTTAGCCTTTGAACATGCGAATGATAAATGCAAAAAGGTTTTAATTCCAATAAAAGATACTGGAACGATTGACAGTTTTATAAAACAATGTAAAGATTTAAATTCAGAATCTAAAAAAAATGCAACTGTTTGCTGAAACCATGGTAACCACGTGGAATAATTTGCAGTCTAAAAAGGAACAGTCTTTAAAATGGTTTAGTTGTGGTCAGACAGGGCACGTAAAAAGGGCCTGTCCAAAACTTTTAGACAATGATCAAAGAAAAAAATCTAAAGCCCCTGGCTTATGTCCAAGGTGCCATAAGGGAAATAATGCAAAAGTAAACAAGTTAACTCAGCTGAACAGAAGGGAAATGGGAGAGCGGGCCTTACCCCAGGCCCGGGACAAATCAATGGGGTAAACCTACCATATTCTCCCTACAACCAGCCACCCAACACAGCGCCACAGTGGATATACCAGCCGTAAAAGACATAGAATTAAAAAGAGGACAATCTCCCGTGAGAATTCCTACAGGAATTTTTGGTCCCTTGCCTGCAGGAACTTTTGGCTTGCTCACGGGTCGGTCTAGTTTAAATCAAAAAGGCATTACTGTTCATTTAGAAATTATTGATGCAGATTATACTGGAGAAATTCAAATCTTGATGTCCTCACTTACAGATTATAAATTATTAAAGGGAGAACGTATAGCTCAACTCATTTTACTACCTTATATCCCGATAGGATCCTCTGTTGTTCAGCGAACAGGAGGGTTCGGCAGCACTAACCCTATTAATGTAATGTGGACAGCTAAATTATCTCAACAACAACCTCTTATTAATATTTTTATTGAGCATAAAAAAATTCAAGCTCTTATAGATACGGGCTTGGATATTACTATTGTTAAATCTACTGATTGGCCTTCTCATATTACTTATACTATTATTCCATGTAATATAAAAGGAGTAAGTAAAACTCCAGTAAATACAATTGGACAAGCCACAATGCATATACATATAAAAAATGAAGAGGATCAAGTTGCTGTTATTAAACCTTATATCTTAGAGGTGCCAGTTTCTATTTTAGGAAGAGATATATTAGAACAATGGGGAGCTCATATACATTTTTAATATTTTACATGTTTCTGCAGTTTGGGGAATAAATCCTTTAAAGCTTAATTTAAAAAATGATGACCCAATTTGGATAGATCAGTGGCCTCTGACTACTCAAAAGTTACAGGCAGCACAGGAATTGATTGATCAACAACTTTCTCTACATCACATAAAACCATCCACATCTCCTTGGAATTCTCCAATATTTGTGATAAAAAAGAAATCAGGCAGGTGGAGACTTTTAACAGACTTACGTGCTGTAAATACATCTTTATTTCAAATGGGAGCCCTTCAGCCCGGCATTCCTTTACCTTCAGCGCTCCCCGCTGGTTGGTTTGTATATATTATAGATTTACAGGATTGTTTTTTTAATATACCCTTACATCCAGAAGATAGAGAAAGGTTTGCCTTTTCAATTCCTCAAACATTATCAAAGACCTTATCAAAGATATCAATGGAGAACATTACCCCAAATAATGAGAAATTCCCCAACTATATGTCAAATTTATGTTGATACAGCATTAAAACCAGTGTGTGCACGATGGCCTCAGGTTTATACGGCTCATTTCATGGATGATATTTTATTCTCATATAATGATAAAAATGTTTTAGAAGATATTTTTAAAACTTTACCTCCATATTTTTCCCCATTTAGACTTATAATAGCACAGGATAAAATTCAAAAGGAAAAAATTAGTCATTATTTGGGATATATTCTTACTAGACAAAAGGTGATTCCACAAAAAATGTCTATTAAGAGAGATAAGTTATCCACTTTAAATGATTTTCAAAAATTATTAAGCGATATTAATTGGCTTCGTCCCACACTAGGTATTCCTACGCATGCACTGCAGCATTTGTTTGCTACTTTACAGGGCTCTTCAGATCCATCCAGCCCTCATTCATTAAGAGCAAAAGCAGAGCAAAAATTACAGTTTGTAGAACAACAAATTAAGGATGCATTTTTAATTAGGATTGATCCTAAATTGCCTCTAACTTTATATATTACTAATACTTTTCAATATCCCTCTACAGTTTTAGGTCAGAATGCTATGCCAGTAGAATGGTTATTCACTAAAACTAAACAATCTAAAAATGTTACGCCTTATATTGACATGGTTGCAGCTTTAATTATAAATGGTAGAGCTCGTTCTATAACTTTGATAGGAAAAGATATAAATAATATAGTTATCCCCTTAACTAAGGAACAGTGGGAATATTTGTTATCAATTACTGAAACCTTACAAATTGCTTTAACAGATTTCATGGGAACTTTTTCATATCATTTTCCTAAAAGTAAATTATGGGATTTTTTTAGACGTCAACAATTTGTGGTTAATACTTTATTAGCTGTACAGCCAATTCCACAAGCTTTGACTATATTTACAGATGGATCTAAAAATAAGGCTGCATATTGGACTCAAAAATCTTATTGGGTACGTCAGACAAATTTTAATTCTGTGCAACAAAATAAACTTTTTGCTATATTACAAGTGTTTTTAGATTTTCCTGACCAACCTATTAATATTATAGCTGATTCAGCCTATTCTGTTAGAGTAGTGACAAATATCTATTCAGCTGTGTTATATTCTAATAAGCCTGCCTTATTGTCTTTATTTCAAAATTTACAAATACATGTTCAAAAGAGAAATCATTCTTATTTTATTACTCATTTACGTTCTCATTCTCAGTTACCTAGACCATTAGTATCAGGTAATAATACAGTGGATTCCTTAGTTATGTTCACTACACCTGTTAAAGAACATCAATTTAATCATGCAAATGCCAGACATTTACATCTTAAATATAAGATACCCTTTACAAAAGCTAAACAAATTATAAAAGCCTGCCCTATTTATAGGCCGTTACATTTAAAAATTATTCCCTCAGGTGTCAATCCTCGAGGAACTCAACCTAATGAGTTATGACAAATAGATATCACACATGTACCTTCTTTTGGTCGGCTTTCTTACGTACATGTAGCTATTAATACCTATTCTTCATTTCTATGGGCTACTGCTCAACAGGGAGAATCCACTAAAAATGTTATTGTACATTTAATAGAGACTTTTACAGTTGTAAAAATTCCTTCTAAAATCAAAACAGATAATGGACCCGCCTATACTAGCAGAACATTTAAACAATTTTGTGATCTCCATAATATCATTCATGTTACAGAGATTAAATATAACCCACAGGGTCAAGCTGTTGTTAAAAGAGCACATGGCACTCTTAAGTTACAAATTAAAAAATTAAAAAAGAGGAGTCAGGAGGATATTCAGACACCAATACTGTTTAAATTGCAAAACAGTCCAAAAACATTACTACATCAGGTACCTTTTATTTTAAATTTTCTCAATTTACCACAAGGTGAAATATTAACAAGAGCTGAAAGACATTTCGAACAGCAACAACAGCCATATGTAATTAATGAGCCTATTTGGACTAAAACAGCCCCAGAGGCAGAATGGGAGAATGGGACACTGCTCTATAAGGGGAGAGGTTTTGGTTATACCTCCACAGAAC